ACCCTAAATCCTAAATCCTAAAACGACTAAGCCAGAAGCCCCAAGCTCTGAACACTAAGGCCCAGATGCCAAACTTTGAAAGCCTGCCTTGGCTTGCTAGATCTTACTTGGTCTTGCAAGAAGTCCGAAATATAGACTCACCTGATAGACGATACATTTGACAGTCGTGATGGCTGCTCTGCCTCGTCTGACAATCATGACTTCTCTGATAGCCTGACGGGATTGTGCTGATTCTTCTTACTACGTCCTGAGTATCGTGACACATCCTGGACACGACTGTTCGGACTATCCGACCCAGCCCACTGTGATGATTGCAACCACAAGAAGAGACCCTAAACCCTAAACCCTAAACCCTAAACCCAAACCATTAGCCTGAACTCCGAACCTCGATCTAAAGCAAGAGCCTCGACCTGGAGCGGCCAGGGTGGAAGGACGGCTCCCAGAGACCCAACATCGGTACTTGGATGGTAGAGATGGTGCGTCCACCTCCCACCGAATTAAGCCTCGGGAGCAGGGTTTAGGACTCTGGGATTCGGATTTGGGTATCCGGGTTGAAGGTTCGGGAGTTTAAGGGTCTGCCGAACCCGAGCCTGGCCCTGCTCTCAGCGATAGTTCTATGCGGAGGAGCATTTCAGAGTAGATGGGTTGCTCCTGTGCTGCAGCCATCTCGGTTTGGGCGCTGATCCAGAGTTCCCGCAAGGCACAGAAGGCGGGTCCTTACACCAAGCAAGAGCTAATTTCGGATCTTTTTCTCGGGCAGGCGCGCTTCTGGCCAGTATGGTGGGGAGCAGTGAGTGACATCCCCAGCTTGGACCAAGCCCTCCTGTGGGGGGGTTTAGGTCCGGGATAGACAGGGGTTCCTTGCCTGGTGGGTCAGTCGTCGGCGTTTCACGAACTGCGTCTGTCGGATGTAGAAATCAGATGGGGGCGACTTGAGTTCCTGTGCGAAATTTATTGCACTGGGTGAGTATGAGGCAAGCCCCACGACCCTGCAGCGTGTTGTCAAATAACTTCATAGGTCACGCTGGTGGTGCTGCTGGTGATGGTGATGATGATGCCGCTGATGAAGATCATGGGGTGTGCATGAGGTCCATGATGATCCAGCCGCCCCCCCTCCCCGCCTTCTACATTGAGTCCCAGGTTAAAGAAGGAGAGCTTCAAGATCACTGGGGATCCGAAGAAGCCGGATGGCCCATGGTCTCAGCTTGCGGGGGTTCGGGGTCCTTGCCTTCAAAAGTGAGGTGGTAGTCATGCTTTTGCTGGGTGCAGGATTTTGGGGGCCTTAAACCCTAAACCCCAAAC